TTTTTCTTATGATTATAGACTCGTTTTTCTTCTTGTATAGAAGTTCTTTTGGTTGTTAAGTTTCCATTTAAATATTCTTCGATTTTTTGATCAAATTCTTTAAGTTTTTCTTGTAGTTTTATTTTATGTTCATCTGATGGTGGGTTTGGATATTTGTTAAAATATTCTTGGAAAACTCTTATGTATATTTCGTTTCCAATTTCTCCGTAGCTCATTAATTATTTTTTGGATAAGTATGGTGCTTTATCTAATATTTTTTCTATAAACTCTTGCGGTTTGTTGTATTGTTTTGCTTTAGTTGCTAAGTATGGTAACTTATTTATAGGTAAGGTTCCTTGGTTGAATTTCTTTTTGAATTCTAGGTATACGTATAAGTCTGTTGCTTGATTTATTGTTAGCTTTAGGCTTTGTTTAAGTACTGGTGATACTTCTGTTTTTATTTTAATTTGTTTTGGAATTTCCTTTTTTTTTTTAATTACTTTTAGTTTCTCTTCCAATGTTTTGGTTACTATCCCTTTATAATATGTTGTTTTTACTATAAGTTTCTTGAGTTTTTCGATATTATCTGGGCAATTCATTCAATTTCTTTTGATGATTTACTAATGCAGTTACTTCTTTTGCTCGTATAATAGTGTTTGCTATTATGGATATAGTTGTTACTATTGCTATTGATATTATAAAGTTGTATATTTTGGTTAAGATATATAAATGGTTTTTCTGATGCTGCTAATACTATAATGATGATCGTTAGAGTGTTGTCTTGTTGATTATCCACGATTAAGCGTTGTTTTATATTGCTTTAATGCTGTTAACTATTTGTTGTCTTTCAAATTCTTGTTGTTGAACTTGTAGTTTGTTTTGTTTATTTCTGTATCTACAGATTAGTACAGCTGTAGTTATTGCTACTACTATTATGAATATTACTTCTCCTATAAATGTGTTGATTACATTTGTATCTTGTAGGTATCCTGGTGTTTGTATTTGGATTATAGATAGTGTTGATGTTGGTGTAAATGTTGCAGTTATGGTACTGATTATTGTGCTAAGTACAGTTGAT